GCATTTCTTGACATCTCTTCTAGTTTCGATAATTCACATCTGCTTCTCTCAAGTCTATCTTTAATTTTGCCTTCCAAGTGTGATCTTTTTGTTTGCTGTTTAATCTTATTTATCTTGACATTAAGTTTGTCAGTCGTTGCTAAAGCTGTTGCATATATGACATTATTTACTTCTGTGATGTTTTGCAGTAGTTTGTCCTTTTAAAATGTTTGCAATGTAGCGTTATATGTTTGCACAATATGTTTATTGGACTTTGTCACTTTTGGAAGCCTGTCTCTTTCTAACATTTGTGCACGAGTTACTTTGCTGATTATTTTAATGATATGGTTTTTCGCTTCAGTTATTTCAACTATGTTGTTTTCAAGGAATTCTGCTGTAATGTCGTTTGATTCATCTTCATCAGTGACAGTATCTGAATCAGTGCAATTGCTTACGTCGCTGTTAGTTTTTGTTTTGTTTTATTTCCTGAGAGATCATTATTTCGAATCTCATTTATTTTAGTTTGTATCTCATTCTCTGTGATTTTATCTATTTCAACTCTTGCCTCATTTTTGTTTTGGTTAGGCCTTATTGTACTTTGTCTTATATTTCGTTTTATCGTATCTTTTTCTGTATTTCAGAGGGCTTCTTTTTTTTATTTCGTATGAATACCAAGCATATTTGGGTCGAGATAGGGGTCTTATTCTAGTCCTAACCATATTTCACCATATTTGATAATCGGATCCGTGTGGATTTTTGAGTGACATGAAAAAAGATGCTATGACTTGTTTATTCATTTCGTTCGCTTTCTTATTTATTGATTTTGAGGTATCTTTTTATTGGTTTGTTTATTCCAGTAACAGATTTTTCGACCCCCAACTGGTTCTTCCTGACCCAGGTGGCAATATGAGCCCTTGTTTGTATGTTTGAGCTTTTTTATTTTTGGTGTTTTATCTTTAACCGCCAAGGGGTCATTTTGTTCAAAATACCACCTCTAGGTCGAATATCGGCCAAAAAGCAAAGAGCTCGTCTTGCCCATGGGATACGGCTATTCCCTGCTGGATATCACCCCGATTTTACTAGTCCATGGAGTGTTTTATTTATGCATTTATTATTATTATCATTTTATTTCCTTTGATTTCTGGTGTGTACTCATTTCTTTCCGGGTGCCGCCCAGGGACCTAAGGTTAGAAATGGCATCATGACATTTTCCACTGACAAAAAAAAAATATTTTACATAGACAAAGCCCCGCTTAAAGTGTGGGCTGTACTCGTGAGAACAATTTTTTGTATTTCTTTAAGGCATGGGCTTCCAGGAATCCTTTCCATTAGTCTACTGGTATCTTATCCAACTAATCCTAGGGCTCAAACTACAACAGAGATTGTTGATGTTCCCATATGCCACATTTTCGAGATTTCTATTTCAAGGTCCTTGTATTTTGACAGCTTTTTGAATATCTTCAAAGATACATTGCAGTCAGCAGGGACTGCCATATCAATAAGGAGGCACTTTTTTGTTTGTGGTCTTTAATAACAATGTCTGGCCGGTTGGCTTTGATTGTTCTGTCAGTGTGTATTGTATAGTCCCATAGAATTGTAACAGGTCCTATCTCCGTAACCGGGTCTGGGTGGTGTTCATAACATTTTCTTTCAGTTTCCTTCCCGTAGAAGTTTCAGATTTTCCAGTGCAGATATTAGCCAACTCTGTCATGGCGGGTTTTATATTCAGTGGGTGCCAATACCGTGCAACCTGATACAAGATGATCGATTGTTTCTGGGTAATTATCACGGAACCTGAATTTGGGGCTAACACTATATTTTAGTGTGTGTGCTTGATAATTTCTAGTCAACAAGCATTGGTCCTGTGCAGCAAAGATAAAACCTTTTGTATCAGGTTTTAACCCTGCTCTACGTAGCCACTGATGGGTACGGGGTTTGTCTACATCAGCTTCTTTGCTACGGGCAGAGTATTTGCCATGAAGCGGTTTATCTTGCCATTGTTTCTGTATCTGGTCGGTTACATTTCCTTTTGCTTTCTTTTTTATGTATTTTCCAGCTTCAATCGGTGTAATGTACTTTACTTTTATTATTATTATTATTATTATTACTGTTTTATCATTATTATTATATAATTAATTGTTTAGATGTATATAAAAAGAAGAAATAAGTTAAAGTTAAAAAAAAAGGATAAATTAAAGTAATCTTGAAGAAACTGACATTAGGAAAGTGCCTTTAGAATTAGAAACGCCTCCCAACCACAATGGAAAATTACGTCTTCTGTTTCCTTATCATATATAGAATAAAAATGAATGAAAAATAATGTTTTAAGAAAATTATAAACAAGTAAATAACTAAGAATCGTCCACTTGTGTGAAATTGATAAGTAATTTAAAAATTATATAATATATTTAAGCTTTGTAATAAAATATATATTTAAGTTTTATTTAATATACGTAATTTGTGCCATATATGAAAAATTTGTCATATATGAAAATAAGTATATTATTATTATTATTATTATTATTATTATTATTAGTAGTAGTAGTAGTAGTAGTAGTAGTAGTAGTAGTAGTAGTATTCACTCAGTGAAGAGCCTAGACGATTAAAATGTTAGATCGTCAATTTGTGGACACAGAAAGTTGTAATTTAGAACACAGTGCCAACTACAGTGACTCAGTTGAAACAGAGCGAACCATAACGGAATGATATTAAATACAAATTAGGCGAGATATCCCAAGACATGATCAGTGAAACGAGAACAATCTAAACCCATAGTTTAAATAAAGTGTTCAATTCTAAATCCCCTGAAAGTTAGGTTGTACAACAAGCACCTGATCAAAATCGGAAGTCAAAACGGCTGAAATATTGTGATAATAACAATAAAGATGAGGACAATAGTGTCCGCATGTAAATAATATAAATAATACCCGGGTGCGTTTTTATAATAGTCATATATGCTGGTTTACATATCTATTTAGTAAACTCGTCAGTGAGTTAAGTGCCACACATGATACACGCTTTGGCGATCATGTTCCTTTCGATACATGACTGACGAGGCAATTTTTCCCGCTGTAGGTTGCCATTTCTTTTTGCGGTTGACTGGTTGCCAAACAAGGCTAAAGAACCAAGTCTGCCCTGCTATTCAACCCACTGGGTAAGAAGAGATATATTTATGCTTTTCCCAAGGGCATTTGTGAGTAAGTGGATATAACGAACTCGAATGGAATTCGAACTCGGCTATCCAAGTTCGAATTCCGATCAAGGATACTTTACACGACAACGTACATAAACCATCACCTTTCCTAATATTCTAACTGTTTTCGCTAATGCTATCATGTAGCTGGTTCTGAATGTTTCTTGACTTTCGGTTCTAACCTTTTTCCTTTTTTTTTTTTTTTTTTTTTTTTTTTTTTACCCAGAGTCGTCAGAATTGTTCCCGCGCTGCAATCACGACAGGTACAACAGTTATTTATCTTCATATTTCACGACTATTTTCGCAATATGGATAGAGATACTTAGCTACATATTCATTTTCTTTCATATCTACATTGTGTTCAACCATTATTTCAAGCGTTCTTCTGTTCTTGTTTCGGGTCTCTTGAATAAGTTGATTTGTTTGAATTTCAAAGATTTTAAGTCTTTCTTTCTTTAGAATATATTCTAAACTTTACTTATTACATTGCCATGTATACTCAGAATCTAGTTTACTCAGTTCCCAACAGATGATCTCCCTGACCTATTCATGCTTTTTCTTGTAATATTTCTTTTATTTAATAATTTATTTACATTTTCTTCCTGAATAGGAGTAGACAGGTTTCGGTTCGGTTCACTCTCCTCCCCGTATTTTTTAACAAGAATTGTTTTTCTCCTTTTGTTTCTTGTTTAAGATTGAATTTTCAGTTCCTTTTAAAGTCTTTTCGTTCTCTCTCACTTCCGACAGCCCTTGCGTCTTGGTGACATTGTCCCCTTACTTAGGGTGGGGCCTCTTACTCTGTAACCCTCTACCTTTTATAAGGTGAACATAAGGTTTTTGTGCTAATTTGTTAATTGTATAACCTTTTATATTGTCATCAATTTTATAGTTTTATAGATGTAACCGAAAGTTATTTTCTCGCACTTCTCTCTCTTCCAGCTTCATGCTTTCTGGACAACTTTAATCTTCAAAAATTTAAAAGCATTGTCAAGCGTTATCTACTTCACACACAGTAACCACTTGTGTCTTAGTGGATTTATTATCTTTCTTGGAGTAAATTCGATTAAAATATATCCAGATACTTGTAGCTACCTTTCCTATTGACCTTCTTGACAATTTAACTAGATTAATTATTTTATTTATATTTTTTATTTGTTCATTACCTGTACAGCACATTTATCAATATAAGATCATACTTCTTTCTTCATTGAACATTCATTATTTTATAAATTTGATTTTTTTTCTTCTTGTTTTCTTTTTTCTTTTATGTGATTTGTCCCTTCAAGACGGAAGCAATCATGGCCCTTCACATCTTCCTGTCCCTTGTTTTGACTTTCTGTTATATCTCTCAAAGCCTTTTCTGTTTGTTCAAGCTTATCATTTATGTTACAAGCTGCTTTCACCAGTCCCTCTTTCCTTGAATTCGTCCTGTGCGTTCCAAATTTTCCAAGCCCTCTTTCCGCATTACGTATCTAAAAAATTTTAATTACCTCTTTCTGATGTTAAGTATAAGTTTCCTTTTAGTTTCCATTCTCTCCAGAGCCTCGTTGTCGCTCATCGCTGTTGCTTCAAGTCTCTTCCTCAACTTTGAGAAGATTGTCCAGCATTCGCTGCCATACAGGGGTGCACCTTTTTCTTTTTTCTTTTTAATTAAGACGGAAAAAGACTATACATTTTTGTGGTTTTCACAATATCATTTCTCCTCTTTTCTCTGAGAAGAAAAACTGTAAAAATCTGTCATCTCTATCTACCTTACATGCCATTAATGAGAAAAATTTACACATTTATATGGCCCACTTTTTTTTCAATTTTCTCGTCAGTTTTAGGCTTACGACCATATCGTGTTGAAACACCGGTTCTCATCCGATCACCGAAGTTAAGCAACGTTGAACCTAGTTTGTGCCTAAACTGGTGACCGTTCGGAAATGC